TCTTCCCAAGCTCAGAGAATTCCACTTTGGTTGTGAAGTACAGCCAGGAAAAGATTCCAAGCTAAATGCTGCAAGACTTCTTAGAATAAACCAAAGTCTCCAGATCCCAACCACAGGAACCAGACTTTCCCACATGGAATTCTGCAACTCAGCACTACCTATTATAGGTCTTCAATTACAGCTTTTCCTTCCAATCATTTATGCATCCCTCAGGCATACAATGTGGCCTTGCTGGAGGTCAGCGTTAGGTAATGCCCACAGACAACCTACCCACTGCCAGCTCAGATCTCAACTGCTACTGCAGCCTACAGAGAGCTCTTCTTTCAACCCCTCTAGAAATTCTGACTCCAAAACTTTAGATGGGACCAAACATCTGTAATTTCTTTTAAAGCACCATGAGTGACTCCAATATTTAACAAGGTTCGAGAGCTTAGAACTAACAGAGATACAGTAGTATGTTATTATGTAATAAATAATTTAGGAAGACTTAGTTCCATACTCATCCCTCCCACATTCAATCTGTGGGAGAGACGCTGAGAAATTTACTATTCTCCAAGCTTCAACCTCCCAGCAGAACAGAGTTGGTGTGGCTTTCAAGTAAAAAAATAAGTGAGGGCCAGGGATTTAGCTCAGTGGTTCTGCCGCATGCTTTGCAAGCGCGAGATCCAGAGTTCAATCCCTGGTATGTATGTATGTATGTATGTATGTATGTATGTATGTATGTATGTATGTATAAATAAATAAATAAATAAATAAATAAATAAATGAATAAATGAATGAATGAATGAATGAATGAATAAATAAATAAATAATAATAAATGACACGTCCTTTAAAAAAATACTTCACATTTGTACAGTGTTGTGCTTACAGTTCAGAAAATGCTTTTAACATTCACTATGTCAAATGACAGATAAAAGCCTACTAACAATAGAGGGTGGGTAGAAATTATAATTATTCCCACATTAAAAATGAGGAATTAAACGATATTTTAAAAAGTAAATCACAGAGTTAAATGCCAGAAGCAGGAATCAATCTAGGTTCTCTAAATCCAGTTCTAGACCATTTCTCTACTCAACTGGTATAGATTCTCAAATACTATATGAAAGACACACCGACTCCAAGACTGCCAACACTGCTGTATAACTTGCTACTATAGGACTAAGTTGGTGAATAAAGGCTGCAAACAAAACGAAAACCTCAGTCTTACTTCATTTTGATATTTGCATTAATAATAGCTTTCAAAAGTCTTAAAGCAAAGTGATGAAACCAATGTGCTCAGGCAATCTATAAAAAAATCTGTAATTAGAGAGAGGTTATTATAAGATCATTTTGCAAGAATATCTTATAGCTCTTTTTTTTTTTTTTTTTGGTTTTTTGAGACAGGGTCTCACTATGTCATGGAGACTGACCTGGAACTCACTATGCAACACAGACTGGACTCAAACTCAGAGTGATCCTCCTGCCTCAGCCTCCCGAGTGCTGGGATTACAGTGTATAACTCTATTTTCTACCCTTATGCTTTCAAATCTACAGAGTTGCAGCTTTCACCTTGATCCTATGAGATTTATCTTCAGAACAGATTTGGCCTCAGGTTACTCAGCTAGAATTTCCAGAAGAACCTCTGGGTCTTTAGCTCTTTCACTGATTAAACTACTTTACAATGGCCTACTTTCTGTTCACCTATATAGACAAGTCTGATGCAATGGTATCTTTGTAATACTTCATTTACATAATTATAGGATTTCAAAACCAAAAGCAACTGAGCATGTCTGCAGCACTGACTCTCCCATTTCTTCAGATGAAGGCACTGAAGTCTATAGAAAAGTAACTGACCCAAAACAGGCAGCCAATTTATGGGAAAACCAGGATTGTGACTTAGAAGTTCCTCCAAAGAGAAGTACAACATATCCATATATAATTCTTCTAAGACCCTCACTTTGCCATCCACCATATAAAATTAATTGTCCTTTCAGTTCCAGTGATGTCTGAAGGATCTGTTATTTCAGGCAGGAATTCTTTTTCCAAAAATTGTTTTACTGAGATGTAATTCACTATTTATAGATACATACACAATAAAATTCATAGTAGCATGCAATTCAATGTCTATAAAATTCACAGAGCTGAGCAAACTTTAGCAAATTTTAGGGCACTTTCATCACTTCAAAAGGAAATCCCAGCTCTTAGGCATCACCTCCTAGTCCCATTTGCCTCTCCCCACTCGTACCTCTAGGCAACTGCTAATAAACTTTGTGTCTATGGAGCTGCCTTTCCAGACATTTCACATAAATGGAATCCTACACTGTAACCCTATGTGACTGGCTTCTTCACTTAACATAGTGTTTTCAAGATTGACCCATGTTGTATCATGGCTCAGGACTTCATTTCTTTTCGTTACCAAATACAGTTGTACCTCAGATCACAAAACTTAATTTGTTTTATTATTTTGGGGAAGATGGCCACAGCTGTGTTTGTCACTGATGTGGAGTTCATGAACAGAAGCAAAATTTTGCTAAACACTTTTGAAAACCAAACTGGACGACCAGAAGTGTTCATGAATCAAGGGACCACTGTAATATTTCATTGTATGGCTATACTACATTTTATTTATCTATTGATGAATACTTGTTTCCACTTTGGGGTTATTATGACTAGTGCTGCTGTTGTGAACATTCATGTATAAGTTGTATATATGGACATGTTGTACTCCCCTTTGGAGGAACTTCTAAGTCATACAGTATCTCTACATTTAACCTTGTGAGGGACTGCCAGATTGTCTTCCATAGTAGCTGAACCATTTTACATTGTTACCAGCAATTATGAGGGTACAATATCTCTACAATCTCACCAATATTTGATATCTTTTATTGTAGTCAGTCTAGTGGGTATGACATGATATGTCATTGTGTTGTTTTGTTTTTTTGTTTTAGTTGTCTTTTTTTTTTTGGACTCACTATGTAGTTGAGGCTATCTTTGAACTTACTACATAACCCAAGCTGGCCTCAAACTCACAGTGATCCTCTGACTCAAACTCCTGAGTGTTGGGATCACAGGCATGTACCACCAGGGTGTGGTGGTTTTGAGTGATTATTTCTCTGATGGCTAATGACTTTGGGGTTTCATGTGCTTATTTGCCATATGTGTATCCTCTTTGGAGAGAAGTATATTTAGATACTTTGCCTGTTTCTAAATTAGGTTTTTGGTTGTTGAGTTCTTCATATATTTTAGATGTAAGTCCTTATAAAATACATAATTTGGGGAAATTATCTGTTTTGTGGACTATCTTTTTACTTTCTTGATGGTGTCCCTTGAAACATAAAACTTTTGATTATACCTATTAGTCAGAAATTTTATCCTTCACAGTTTGAGTCGTTTAGGAAACACTTACACTTTTTGATTTATAAAGTCCTCTTTCACTGTATGTGAAAACTTGAGCTGAAAATCTTATTTACAGAGATCAAGAACACTGGCCAAGAGAGTGCAATATCAAAAATAGACACATATTTACACTGAACAATTAAAAGAGTGTCTATATATGTAGGAAAAAGTTCCAATGGAGGGAGGATCCTAAACCAAAGTATCCACTAATAGTCCTCAACAGTTCAAATATTCATTTCAGTTATTTAACACATATCTGCTATATGTGAGATCTGCCTATTACGCATCAATATACTCTGTCCAGTCATTATCTTCTTTGTTCTTCAACCACCAGCCCCCCAATTTGTTCATTGTTCATGTGTTCCCTATTTGGTTAATGATACAATTACCTACCTAACTTAATTAGTAATTACGCAGTGGTACTTTTCTACAATGTGAGATATGTCTGTAATTCATCACTGTACTTTATATATTTGTTTCCCTGTTTCAGAATCTGTTATGTTTATGTAGTTTACTAGCTATGCTTCCCAGTTTCTAGTCATCAACAAAAAAGAGAAAAAGAATTAACATTTAAATTCTTCATGTATAGAAGGTACTGTATTAGGAAATTTGAATGTACTCTTCAGAACCCTGCTGTAAGAAATTAGCTCAAGTTGAAAGATAGGAAACTAAAGGTCAAAGGAGTTAACTGACATACTGAGGTCACAGAACTGTTAAGGGATGAACCAGGCCATCTGAATCTGAAGCTCTTTATATTTATAGATAGCCAATTTCTTTAGTATACCACAAGAACAGGGCTCTGCAAACAAAATTGAGAAATTAAGAGTCACTTAACATTTTTGGGGTCAAACAAAAGCCACCTATCCATGTGAATACCCAAACCTCAACTTTCCACTACCTTTCCATAAAAGATGCCAATGATTTTTCAGACATGTTTTAAAATACTGATTACTCTTCTAGAAGTTGTATTAAAAAGGAAATGAAGCTGCCTAGTATAACTTACTCACAGTGAACTCATGGTGAGTCCTAGTTACCTTTGTTTCCTTTTCTCAGCCATTCCATGGTATTCTTACTGACACTTAATCCCTAAATCTGAGTGTGGGGACCAGGAGATACGAATGAAAGAAAGGCAATCAGGAATTTGGAAAGAAGGCATTCCAAATAAAACTAATTTGGGGGAAATTTTTCAAATAAAGACATTTCAGAATTTCTTGTTTTGTGATTTCATATACAGCTTAAGAACTTAAAAAGTGAGTAAATTGGGCTAGGGATTTAACTCAGTGGTGCCGTGCCTGCCTCAGAAGCACAAGGTCCTGAATTTGAGACTCAGTACCAAAATAAATAAGTAGTAAGTAAATAAGTAAGTAAATAAATAGCTTCAGGTTGTCGAAAATCTGACAAGAGCATAATTATTCTCTTGGAATTCTGTTCCAATATGAAGAGTACAAAACAGATCTGTTTTCCAGAGGCTTCAGCCAGTTTAGGAAGTAAAAACAGAGGAAATATTTAACACAATAAAAGGTGTTAAGGAAAATTAAGTTTAGGAAAAATAGATCTTTTATCCAAGTTACAAATTTTTTTTCTTTCAGCATAAAAATGATAAGAAAGAAACAAAGTACTGTACTTTTATCTCCAGGTAAGATGGATCGGTAAAATCGGTCCTTCTTTTTCTTCTCCTCTGGGTTTGGAGGCAAAGGTTTCGAACCATGATTTAGGGTTCCAGTGTCTTTGCTACCAGCTCCAATCATAGTGCTGGTGTTTCTCATGGGAGGGGCTGGGGGCTTGTCTTGAATGTCCAGGCCGTTGTTTGACATTGTCACCACCAGCAGCAGCAGCTACTAGAACCAGAAAGACATAACTTTAATTATTTTTGAGCAAAAGGAAACGTATGTAAAAGTTCTTAAGGACTTAAAATTACATAGCCCCTCCACTCACACCATGAATATTGCTGGCCTATTCGCTCAAAAGCACTCACAGATATAAATACCCTCTGTATACCAAACACTGCTGAAAACTCCAATTGTTTTTCTCTCCATTTCCATACTCAAGAAGCTGGAAAATATAGTTAACCACCAAGATTTAGCTAGAAAGCAGAAATCTGTCCTCACAATACTGAGTGGGATGGTGCATTCCTGTAATCTCAGCACTTGGGAGGCTGAGGCAGGAGGATCACTGTGAGTTCGAGACCAGCGTGGGTTACATAGTTCCAGGTCAGTCTTAACTACATAGTGTTCTGTACTTTTTATATTGCAACAGAATTCCAAGAGAATAATTATGCTCTTGCCTGATTTTGGACAACCTGAAGCTATTCACTTATTTCTTTCTTTATTTATTTAGGCACTGGGTCTCAAAAATCAAAAGCAAGCAAAAAAAAAAAAAATACTGAGAGGGAAACCTAATAACATTTACTAGCTTTAAAGAAATGCCTGCCCCAATCTGTTAGGTTTCACTAATTTAGCTATGTGAACATTAAATAAAACTGCTAACAGCAAGCATGCCACACAATGAGTTCTCTAACAGCCTCTAACTTTATAACAGGAGGCAAGTTATACTTTTCTTCTCTACAATGGAATATATATCAAGGGTCAACAAACGTGCTCTTTCTGTAAGTAGTTCTACTGGAACTCAGCCACATTCATTCATTACATTGTCTATGGCTTCTTTAAGGTACACCAGCAGAGTCGAGTAATTGCAACAGAGACTACAATATTTACTATTTGGCCCTTTTTAGGAAAAGTTTGCTCCCTCTGGACTGTACCATCTCTCTAGTACCTCTATTCCCTAAAATTCCATCTCACTCTAAATATATGATGGTCAATGCAATAACCATCATGCTTAAGTTACTGATAATCTCCAATGCCTCTGGAATAAAAAAGAAAGAAAATCTAAAAGAAAGAAAAATATCTCTATCACATACTAGCAATAATTTTAATGAAGACAGACATTATTACCTAAAAATAATTGTTTTTAATAATGAATAAATATGAATGTATCCAGTTTTTAGTTTCTCATTATTTATTCATGCTATAGAAATATTTTTAAAAAGTTTATTTTAAATAAGAACTCCTTAAAATTAAACACAACAACGCTATAGAGATTATAGGCTTCAAAAAAAAAGCGTAATAATCACTAAAAACATTTTAGAAATATAGATGCCTAACTCCCCTAAACTTTGACTTAATATGGACAGGTTAAGGCAAAAATTCTATATTTTGAAAACTAGTAATTCCAATGCTTGCCATATTTGAGTATCATTGCTTCAGAAATCAATTAACTGAAATGCTATGAACAAAATATATAAGGGTCCTCATAGTATTTTCTAATATATGAAGCTACTGATTCTCTACATCTAGCTTTTTCCTCAGTCTTTTCTCCAGGAGCTATTAGTGATCTTAAAACACACCACTCCTTTACGTGAAAGACCTTCAACTGACACAGCAGAATAAAAACTAAAATTCTTTAGCTTCTTTTAGAGGCCCAGTCAATCCATCAGTTTCATTTCCCATCCTACTGCTCCCTCTAATTCTCCCTACACTCCAATCACACCAATTTTTCCAACTACTTTTTATATATGTCATAGTTATCACACATCCATTCCTTTGCACAGCTGTTTCCTCTGGCTAGAAAGCCAATTTGAGAATTCACGCATCTTCTGTGGCTTAATTCTTCTGTTGCTTGTCCTGACATCCTTGAAGTTAGATGTCTGCTTCTTCACATTCCATGGCATCTCCATTTCCGGGTTATGACATTTCTTTTCACTGGGGCCCAATTTTGTCATCTTTTCTAACCAACAGTGTACTCCTATACAATATCTAACTTACAGCAGACTTGATAAATATTTTAATTAATATAGTTTATGCAAGGATGCATACCTTGGCCTTTAAGGAGTTTAGTAGAAGAAATGAAATTATCAGTCCCTCACAAGCTAATGTGAATCTGCCTTACAAACTAAGCCACCACACCTAGAAACAGTCCACATTCAAATTATGCCCCAGAAATCTTTGTTTTCCTTAATTTGCCAAGTATGCTTTCTTTTCCTTTTTTTTCCCAGAGGCTCAAACCCTGAGCCTCATACATGTAAGCATGCATTCTACCACTAAGCTATACTCCCAGCATGCCAAATATTGTTACACACACACACACACAGACACACACACACACGGCCATCCTTCCTGTCATTGATTTCTCCCTTCTCTGACCAAAATGTGTAATAGATACTGGGAAATGGGAAGAAAATGTTAATCTGACTAATAAAAATCTTCCTCACATTTTTTTTTTTTGGAAACAGAGTCTTGCTCTGTAATTCAGGGTGGCCTTGAATTCACTATGTAACCTAGGCTGACCTCCAACTTCATAGCAATCGGCCTCAGCCTCCCAAGTGCTGAGATTACAGGCTTTTACCTGTAATCTTTTTTCCTGGCTCTTACTCATCTTCTAAGGTGAAACTCAAACTGCACTTCTTTTTGTAATTCATCTTGGCCCACCTCTGGCAAATGAACTCCATCTTATTTTTTCTTTAAGCAATCAAGCAAGCAAGGGTAATTTTGTTAATCTAGACTGACGCTCTGGGTAGCGTGTTTTTTATCCATTTCTTCCAGCTTCACTTCCCAAATTTGCCCCTGCTCTCCCTTCCACCCAAATTCAGGTCCTTCAGCTCCCCCAAGAGAGGGTCAAGTGTCTCAGTTCTCAAACATACCACTCAAGGATCCCTGTTCTAAAATTACATCCCTGCAGCCACCTGATAACCTAATCAAGCCCTTCTTGGCCTCTCAGGTCTTTCAATCAACAGCCTCATTGAACATAACTCCCTTTTAGATCTATAACCCAAGAAAGGCTTCAACAAACCTTTCCGATATAGGTTTTTTTATTTGTTTTTTATTTTTATTATAGTAGAGAATTCCCTGGGGATAGAGCTTCATTTTCAAAGTGATTCCTAATTACTTACAACCAAAAACTATTAAAGTCTACTATTTGAACCTTTTTGTCATATTCCAGCCTAGGTCATCCTACCTTTGCTTGAAAACCTCCTATGACAGGAAACCTATGTACCTCAGTTCACGAACTTAATTCTTTCCAGGATTCTAGACGCAAACCAATTTGGTCACGAACCACATCAAATCCCCACAAGGTCAACAATGAACCTAACCAATGAATCTGATTTCACGACCGATTCATTGCAACATGAATTGTAGAATTAAATTCACTTGAAATCAAAGTACCACTTGTAATCTCAAAAGACAGCCTATTCTACCTTTGGTCACTTCATTTAAAGAGTTCTGGCCTACATTAAGTTCTATCTATGTCTTACTGCACTGCAATTATTTGTTAATGCTTTGCTACTACTTCTTGCTCCTCCTCTGTCAGACCTTAGACTATGAACTCTTTCAGAACAAAGTTCATAGCTAGGCATGGTGGGGCACATCTATAATCCCTGCACTTGGGAGACAAAGGCAGAAGGATCACTGTGAGTCTAAACTGCATAGTGAGCTCAAGGCCAGCCTGGACTACATAGCAAGATCTTATTGCAGAAAAAAAAAAAAGCTCGTATCTTATGTATTTCTAAATCCCCAACTTCAGGCCTGACAGAGAAAAAATAATAAATAAAAATGTTAAATAAACAAATAAACAGAAAAAAAATAAAAAATATTACTTCTGTCTGTTAGTCCTAAATCCTATCTCTTAGTGTTACTCAGAACTATCTATTGCTACCCTTGTTCCCAGCCACCGCGTTGCGAGTAGCTTTCCACCACCAGGCTCTTCCATTGTGCCTTTTCTCCCTCGGAGCCAGAGATCACTGAAGGTCCCGCGTGAGACCTGCCTATAAAAAAGTATGTGATAGAAAGAAGAAACTTCAGGAGAAAAAAATACAAATTCCAGCCCGGGCATCTGCTAAAAGATCTGATCCTGAAAGCAATGTGCGTTGTAATAATTTTTTTAGGCTTATTATATTAGATAGGGTATAAATATGTAATATAAAGTTTCTCCTGTTGCTTATAAGCACGAACAAAACTGAAAAGAACAGCAGCTAGATTAGAATAAGAAAATGAATAGAGTATTAGCTTTATCCAACATCCAAACTTAATTTTATTTTTGATCTCAGAAAAATCACTTAGGCACTCTAAGTCTTATTTTCCTTTTCTGTAAGTGAAGTGTTAACTGTAAAAGTGGCGACACAGAACAATTTATGGTATTAAGAAGGAAGTACCGGGCCAGGGATTTAGCTCAGAGGTTCCGCCGCCTGCCTTGCAAACTCAAAGACCCGAGTTTGATCCCCGGCACCAAAAAAAAAAAAAGAGCAAAATAAAAGAGAAATGATAGAAGGAAGTACCTACCTGAAAAATGTGCTTGACTGATCTATGCAGTTTTTGAGGAAGAACACTATAAGCAGAAGTCAACAGAACTACCTCAGAATACTTATAAATAAAAAATATTTTATGTGAAATAGAGCCAGAGTTGTAATAACTCATCACTGGAACTCGGGTACAATGATAAAATGAATGCTAGTTACCACGTGTGAACTCATGAAGCCTGAGATTATTATTATAAGTACTATTTGTAAGATTATTTGGTTATTCATTTTGGCCAAGACAAATTTTTACCTGTAAAAAGGAGATAATATCTATTTTAAAATACTGTTATGGGGACTAAATGAGAAAATACAAATACTGTCCAGTAAGGTGATGTAATATTCTAGTTATAGTAGCATCCCCAAGATTCTTTTATGACAAATATTTTTACTGAATGATAAAACATCACTTACACTGCAGAAAAAAAACTCCACATGAATATCCTATGTAGTATTTGTCTTTTTTTCTAATAAACAAATACATAGTTGAAA